AAAAAAAACCTATTGGTTAACTTTTCTTTGGTTGTTGAGTTTGAGCAGCGGCGGCGAGTGACACGGTTCCTGATCGGGAAATGGCGGCTCAAGGCGACCAAGATCCCAGAATCGCCAGAATTTCCTCCGCGATTCGAGTTATCCCAGATTTCCCTAAAAAAGGTACTCTGCTTCTCGCTCTGCTCTGCTGGTGCTTCTGTTTTCTACTGAAGAATCGTGTTTCTTTACATTTTGTCATATGGTTAATTAAATTTGTGTTGTTTTGGGTAGTTGAGTCTTGAGCGTATATTTTTGTTTTTCACAGGGATTATGTTTCAAGATATAACAACATTGCTTCTTGATACGAAGGCATTCAGGGATACTATTGATTTGTTTGTTGAAAGGTACAGAGACAAAGATATCTCCGTTGTTGCAGGTAATTTTGCTTATAAGATCAATATAAAACGTTTTCTATTTCTCAGCAGAAAATGATCAGTCATGGCTTTATTTGAGATTCAACATAGTTAAGATCTTACAATGGAACTTTGATGATTGGTAAAGCTAAAAAGCTAAAACCAGATGGGAATAGGTGGAGAAGCTTGAGTAATTTATGCTTGCCAAATAAATATTATGTTATAAATCCACAATCACAAGAAACAAGCTAACCTATTTGGGATTTTCCCACTTAACATTATTCCATAATCATTTGCTGTGCTTATTTAGTTATTTCTCATAGGATGCTGCAACAATTTATTTTCTATATCCTAGAGACCTTTGTGAGAATATCACTCAAGGGCATAAGTTCTTCACATTCTTCCAGAGATAGTTTGATAAGATTTTATCTTGAGTTTTTAGTCATTTACTAATTAATAAGAACACAATAATTTCTGATACTGAAGTTTGTATTGACTTTTTTTTTTCCCCATTTTTTTGTTCTTTTTATTAATGAAGTCTTTTTCTTCTATATGCAGTAAAACGGTAAAAATGTGTTTGATTTCATATTAAATTTAATGTTTATGGCAAATTGTAGGTGTTGAAGCAAGGGGTTTTATATTTGGTCCTCCTATTGCATTGGCTCTTGGTGCAAAGTTTGTTCCTTTGAGAAAACCTAAAAAGTTGCCTGGTTTGTATTGTACAACATTTTCTATTAATTGGTAAAGATTCCTTGATTAGATTTTGAAGAAACAAAACTCATCATTGTCCCATCTCTACACTGTTACATCAATACACCATTGTCAAAGAATACCTGGCAAGCAGTTGCATCTGTCTCTTGATGGGTTTATGCCCTGCATACTGCTTGACAAAATGAATTTTTTTTTTTTTTTTAAGAAAGAAGAAATTTTAGGCTAGTCTTCTGAATGCTAGAAGCTTTGATGTTTTACTAGGGGAGGTTATATCAGAAGAGTATTCTTTGGAGTATGGAACGGACAAAATTGAGATGCATGTTGGTGCTGTACAACCAGGAGAACGTGCTTTGGTAATAGATGATCTCATTGCAACTGGTGGGACCTTATGTGCTGCAATCAAGCTACTTGGTACCTAAATTTCTTTATTATATTCAAGACCCTATTCTCACTCCCCTGGTCCCCCCCCATTATGCTAGGAATGGTTCTTGCATTTGCTTCTTTTTTTTTCCCCTCGGCCTGCAAATGGTTTTTATTTAATTACCAGCATCTTCTTAAACTCCCAGTAGACTTTGTGAAAGCATTTGAAATTTCTGTTGTGATTCATGTCATTGTCTCATTGACTTGTTTTGGTATTTTTGAGTTATATCCAACCCTTCTGTTGTTACCTTTCTTTATGTTTTTAGAATATAGATACTCACAGCATTTGTTCTTTGTTGCAGAGCGTGTTGGGGTGCATGTTGTTGAGTGTGCTTGTGTTATTGAATTGCCAGAGCTAAAGGTGTGCATCCCTATAATCTCAAACACCAATATGCTATCTGAATTATGAATTACCATTTTCAATATTTAGTTTCCTGTACCTTGTGTGATTGCATCCCAGTTGGAAATCAGTAATATATTAAGAAGAAATCATCATGATTCACCTAGAGTAAAGTCTGTGTTTATTCAATCTCTCCCAAGGGGCAGTTTTGAGATTAACAGGGAAGAATCTCGGCTTACCACAAATATTTGAAAATGGCAAGTTTGTAGCAATGTGCAGGCGAAAGAATGTTATGCATTGACTTATCCATTTGGCTATTTTAATGGATTTTAATACGTTGTTATTAAATTGATTCTATTTTCATTAATTCTTGCTGTTTGCTTCTATTTTCTGGTTTCTATTTCAGGGTCGGGATCGGTTAGGAGATACACCACTATTTGTTCTTGTAAGCTCGAGCGAAGAGATCCTGCAGTAGAAATGCATGATTCTTAGCTAGAGTTTTGCTGAAAGCTTGACAATTTACGTTTCATCAAAAGAAAAGGGTTGTATCTTGTGACAATGGGCATTTGAAGAAACCACAACTCTTGGTGTGAAGAGATTGTGTTTTAAGTTTTAACTTACATTTGGTGTGCTGTGAAGCTGAGTTCACGACTCTTTTGAGTATTGATTTATAAATGATTGTTTAAACCCTGTTTTGCCTTTTTAATCTGGGAGGGAAAATAAAACAAGGGATGCTTAATGGAAGATTTCTCTTCAATTTTTTATCTTCTGAGGAAGAAACCAAAACTAGAAGAAATCACAAATCTCTATATTCTTAAGCGCCATAAATTGAAGAGTTGCTACCAATATTCAATTGCAATTTAATATGATACATTGTTTTAGTACATTTAGAGTTAGTTCTATTTGGTATTGTAAATGTTTGAATCACTTATTTTGATCTTAAATTAAAAATTTTTAATTAGTTAACAAACTCAGCTAAAGTTATGTGGATATTTATATGCCATAAAAAACATTACCTAAAGTTGTAGATAAAAAGTTAAAATGACAGTTAAAAAAGGAACTAAGGAGTAAATTCTTGCCTTCTTTTTCAATCATTAGGATGAGCTTCCATTCTCCTATTTTGAATGGAAGAGTTTGTGCTTTACCAATTAAATTACAAGTTTAAAAGTGTTATGTTTTTCATTTTTGGTTACCAAAAACAATAATCACTAATGATGTTACTTGTATAATTAAATTTAGTCAGTGAACTAAAAGAAAAAGAAATTAAAGAATATTTTGTATTCTCCCTTCATGTGTTCAAGTCCTTGGCTGACTTTGAGTTTCTTTTAAATTCTAAGCACAATGTTCCTCCGTATTTAACTACCCACAGGAAATAATTCTTTTTGTTTTCAATTTCCATGAATTACAGTTAAAAAAAAAAAATTCTTGGCTGGAAAACTAGTTTAAATTAAAGTTGACAATTGCACTATTTTAACAATGAGCATGGACTATATGCATGCTTGTATATACTAATAATATTTTCAGGTAAGACCGTAGGTGGAATTAGATAAGGTTGACTTATTAAAAACAAAAATTGCTTGCCTATCTTGTCAATTAGCAACAATATCAATGATTAAGCTTATATATCTTCTCAATTAGCCATAATATCAATGATTAACCACATATATTTATGCTTGAGTTTTTCTAGGGTAACATTCATTTTTCCTTAGGGTCTAACTAAAGAACATTGTTTTCATGATAATGATATAGGTACCTAAACAGACAAAGAGAGATGCTTTTCCTTTATCTCAAGAATATGTATATTGTTGAGGTTTTTTATTTGTTTTTTGTGCTTTTAGAGAAAGTATTTAAACTTAAGACTTGACAGTTGTGTGCAACATTTCTCAAAAATTAAGAAAAAAATACTTAAAAATTTACATTATTTTGAAAAACTTTCATTAAAAAATGTTAAAACAATTGATTTTAAAGAAAAAATTAATGAGATTGTCTAGGGTTTTTTTTTATGTAATATTTTATTAAAATAGAGTAGTTTTAGAATTATACATATCTATATGTAATCTTCTTTTATTTTTTATCTTATTATATCTATAATTATGAGAGTCAACTTAACCTTTTATTTTCACAAAAAAAAAAAAATTAATATTAGACCATTTAAGTTATTGATAATTAATTTATAGTATTTAGACTACAATAAAAGGGATAAATAACCATATATATGCCAATCACATCTAATTGTAAGAGTTGTATGATAGATAAGTGGATTGAAATAAGTAACAAGGGAAACTAGATACTTATTGTGTGTGTGTGTGTGTTTTTTTTTTTTTAAAAATCCATGTATATTTTAAAGGCCAATCTGTGAATTGTATAATTTGCAATGTTTGTTTCTTCACTTCAATTTCTATGAAGAATCATATCGGACACAAACAGATTAAATCTCATTTCCTTAGATCCTCAAAGATTTCATTCCTTCAAATATTTGTGAATTTCTACGTATACGAGCATCCTGGTATCTGAAATGTGGTGCAATGGCCGGCGCGGCTTCCAGACAACACCTCAGACCTTATCGAACTTTCCTCGGGACACAAAACATAAATTAGTGTACATAAAAAAAATGGGTCTCTTTTCAACGCGTAGTTTGTGGCGCGAGCGTTGGCGGAATCCTCGGCGGCCAGAGTATGTCGTGGACTTCGTTTTATGGCTCTGTTCAGGTAATCTGGTGGATTAATTACTGTGAATTTCTTAGTATAAGATATAACAGCTTGGATTGAATTTGTCATGGATTTTGTTCTCCAACATCAGGGATTCTATGTTTGTTTACTATCATTAATTTTCCTGTTAGTTTACTGTATCTGTCTTTTTAGTCTTAACAAATGGATTTTCTTGCATAATCATGTTGAGGCTTTGACAAATGCGGAGAATGGAGATTAGATTGTTTAAGGCTTAATTAGAGTTTGTGGACATGAGAATTAGTGATTTAACAAGTATATGATTCTGTAGAGAATTGGAGATTTAGAAGTAGTTTGTGTAAAGTTGTTGGTTGATTGGTTGGCATCAATATTACCCTTGTTTGATTACAACCCAATTTGAGCAAAGCAATAGACAGCTGTCAGGTTGATGCTGCCAGTTGCCATTTGAGACAAGGAACGTGTTCAGCGGGCACTGTTTTGGCTTTTTTTCCATTTTTTAGTAGTTTAAAGATTGTCAAGACTCATCCCCCATTATCTGGCCGTCCTTTTGCTTGCACTTTGTTAATTGTTAATTACCATAACAGAATTCCCTTCTGTTTATTATATTCAAGAAAGATCAGACTCTCCATGTGTTGAAAATTTCAGATGGTGGAGTGTCTGATATGGTTTGTACATGTATATTTAGTTCCTCCTAAATAACTGATTAATCATGGTTGGTGACTTCTCAATGATTGCCTTTAGACCCTTTTTATGCTATCCTAATTGCACTTTAAGCCAGTCAAAGGGTGTTTAAAGGCCGTGAAGATGCTCCCTTTTGTATTATTTTAATATGTCATTGCTTTAACCTGGCCAACGTATGAGTTGTACTTTGCCTGGTATTAGTTCCCACCCTCGACTTGTGATATAAGCTACAGAGGATTAGGACCTACCCTGATAAATGATTGGCAGTTAGCAAGTCAATACACTTGTGCAAGTCAACCTTGCTAACAATCTTACAGGGGTTGGTATAAATATGTTCCTCATGTTTGCTCTACCTAACCACTTCTCTCTGAGCTTCAATTTGCAGTAGCATTGGTGCTCTAGTTTCTTTTATCAACAGGCTTCTTAGTTTACTAGTAATTAACATGGAGTCTGTTGGAGTTTTTTCTGATGTTGAAGGGAACTCCTTTTGCAGAAACTTCTCTGAAGAGCATAGTTTCAGTCTGCAAATTCTTCATGAGTTCCCATTTCCACTAGAGCACCACAAGGGATCAAGCTTTTTAACCTCATTGCCTGAAGCCACTATGTCCCTTTCTCTGGTTAACAAGAGTTTTCTTGATCCTTTGAATGCTACTGACTCTAACCTGCAGCACAAAACTCTAGAAAGTAGCCAATGTCCTGATTTCAGTAGTAGTGTCTTTATGTCCACTCCAATCCAAGAAGCCTACTATCTTAGTGGTTCTAACCATTTTTCAGTGGAAAATGATGTTGGTATGTCCATGGATAATTCTCTGGGCATGAGTGGGGTTACTGAGAAAAGGATGGGCTTGCTTCTTCCAGCCTTTCCAGACATTGTAATGGAAGAGACCATTTGTATTGGTAATGAAGATTCCAGCACTGACCGATCGAACTTTAATGATAGACAGCCGGCAGCTAATGCTGTTGCTGCCACCAAGGAATTTCAAGTCAAAAGGAAGTTTGATGTTCCACAGTCACATTTGGCGGCTAAGAGTAACATCAGTTCATCTGAGAAGTTGAAAAAATATCGTGTTTCAAAAGATGTAAGAGGAAAAAATTTTAAGATGTCTCATACTGAAGTCCATACTTATGCCATGTCCATTTCTAATTTATCACATTTGAAATGCAGGCCCAGAAGGGTCGTAAGAATGTGGAGTTAAAAGGGGAATGAGTTCAAGCCAATTGGCAAGGATGGAGAGAGCAACGTTGGGTCAGATGGGCAGAGTTCGAGTAGCTATAGCTCAGAGGATGAAAATGCGTCTCCAGAGACTATTGGAGGGGCAATATTTGATCCCAAAACATTTCCAGCTCTTAACACAAATGGAAAGACAATGGCCAATAGAGGATCAGCTACTTATCCTCAGAGTCTCTATGCAAGGGTTAGAATCTCCTACAGCCTAATAACGAGTTCTTCACAAAATTGATGTCTTTGCTCTATGGTTCAAGTGCTGTTTTTTTCTTAACTCCTTTTCCTTGATTGCCACAGAAAAGAAGAGAAAGGATCAACAAGAGGTTGCGGATTTTGCAGAACCTTGTACCCAATGGAACAAAGGTAAGCTTTTCACCTTCCATTCACCTTAGGCATGAGAACAATGTTCTGAGAGTAATGTACTTTATGCACTTGTTTGCAATACAGGTTGATATCAGCACAATGCTTGAAGAGGCAATCAACTATGTGAAGTTTCTGCAGCTCCAAATCAAGGTGAGGGAAAATGCAGATGGAATAAGCCTTCTAAATCATCCAAATGTTGCTCGAATTTCAATGATGAAAACATGCTAGCTACTACTTGTCCTTTTCACATCTAAAGCTTCTAAGCTCGGATGATCTCTGGATGTATGCTCCTCTTGCTTACAATGGAGTGGACATTGGTCTGAACAAGAAGCTTTCAGCCCTCCTATGACCTTGGAAAGGAGCAGTAACCAGGGTTTATCTACTCTCATTCTGTTCAGAATAAATGAGGAGAGAATATAGATATGCAACTACCCCAACTGCATTGAGAATCTGAATGAATTTCCATTTTCAACTAGAAGCTTGAGATGCCTATGTAACTGCACCAAGATGGTCAAGTAACAGATTCAGCGGAACTCTTAATTCAAATTAGCATAATGTATCCTATTGGTTTTAACTATTTCAGAAATCTCATAGCATATCTCCGGAATAATTTCCTTTACCAAAGTTTAAACAGCATGGGGTAGTTTCAATCTTTCTTCC